AACTGATTTGGGGTATTTCAAAACAATATTATAACAGGCACATTGGTCGAGATGGAAAGACACAAAGAGATTGTATAAACATGTGGTCTAAAGCACTCCGAACCATTACCCCACAAATGTGGGCAAACAGTGTAAGACACACTGAAAAAGAAATTTTTAAATGGTGTGAAAGAGAGCATATACTGGACCGATTGGAAATGATTCTGATTTTAGTTCTGATTATTCTGACTGATTTTAGCTTAAATATTATTTAAGTTATAAAATGTCATGTGTTCTTAATTTTATTACCTAACTGTTCTAATTATTGTTACTTCTTTTAAATATGGATGTTTATAAACTAACTGAACATAATTATTTTTTATTGTAAATTAAATCAATCCTAAATATAATTTGTTTGCTTTTTCTTCCTTAACCTAACTTTTTTTGTCATTTTAAACCTCTTCTGCAAAATTTATTACTATTAAATTCAGTGTTTTTCTATAACTTCACTTTAAACATTATCAATGACCTTCATTGGCTTTTATATAGATTTAATTATATATTTAAAATTATTTGTTCCTAATAACATAGCCAAAAAACATAACCTCATAGTTTTAAAAATTCCTACATTATTAGACTATTTTGAAGGTTGGGCAAAACTGCAAGGCTATGACTTCACAACTGATTGATGACGTGTATCGGTTTTTATATTAAATGCTCTATATCCCTCGGTACGAATACGGAATGGCTTGAGAGGGGATATTGTAGTCATATTTTTCAATCTTACATGAATCTTACTTTGCTAATTTAACAATTACGGCTTTATATTACGTCTAATTTAAAAAAAAATATTTTTTGATCTTGTTAAGAAAAAGATTTACTACAACTTAATAATACCTAATCGTTTATTAAAGAATAATGTCTATTTAATAAACTTTATAATTATTTTTGGACGAAACGGGCCATTTTTTCATTAAAGTAGGCTAACCTAGGGGCTAGTGTATGGTATTATCTTCAAGATTGCGTATTCTAGGATTAAACCAGAATGCCTATTATTTAGGAAAATTTCTTGCTATTGTCGGCGGAGCAATAACAATATTACGAAAATCAGTTTTCTTTACATTGAAAGGTTTTTAAATCCAATAAAAACAGTACCCAGTGGAATAAAAATGGCAACTTTATTCTGCCTTCTATTTTAAACTAGCAAAAGCTTTAGCTGTCTCCAGCTTAATGATACTTAAATAGAGTCTCCTCCTGGTGGTAGTCTCCTTTTGGTATCAAACAAATAAATGCACTGGTCTGACCTACTAGGACTGCAGTGGTACCAGTTTTTTACTTAAAATCTACAAACGTGCCAGGTCCGGAGCGAGATTATATTGTTACGCAGGTTTTTGGTATTGCAATTTATTTCAAGTCAACTTTAACAACAATAATTATACAACTGATAACATTAACATGTAACGTCTATCATAAAACTGAAAACTGACGTCAAGATCATCCTTGTATAGCTTGCTTAACCCTTCTCGAACCTTCTCGAAAAGGAAAGACGTTGAAAAGAAGAAGAGGAGGAGAGAGTAAGGCGAGAAGAGGAAAAGGAAAGGCGTAGGAAGGAAGAGGAGGAGAAAAAGGAAAGGCGTAGGAAAGAAGAAGAGGAAAAGAGGGAAAAACAAACAGAGGATAAGGAGGAGAGGCATAGAAAAGCAGAGGTAGAAATTATAAATGGCTTAGTATAAATCCAGGAAACCTCCAAGCAAGAGGTTAGTTAGCTTAAAATTAAAGTAGGTCTGTTAGAGCAACAACAGGAGCATCTAAAACTAATTTAGAACAGTCACAAGAGCATTTAAAAACTAATTTAGAACAACAACGAGAGATTTGGAAACAATGGGAAAAGCCTAAAGTAGAGTTCGAAAGGCAAATTAGAACTGAACTTGTTGAGTTAAAAAGAAGAATTCGTAGCCAAGCTTCGGTAAACAACAGAGAAACTAAAAACCTGTGTAACATTGGTGACGATGAAAATTCCCCACGATCTTCTTTTTGGAAGGCAGTCTCCTGGTGAAGAAGAGGGCCGTACACCTCCCACGTACATACAGAACCTAATAGGAAGATTAGAGAAAGTACACGAATTCACTCCGCAACGTTTGAAAGTTAGTAGCGATAAAGCAAAAGCCATAATTCACAAGCATGCCACAGGGACACATTTTGAAAGAGGCGATCCAGTATGGCTGTAAAATCCCAAGTGCCGAAAAGGACTTTGTCAGAAACTGCAACGGAACTGGGAAAGCCCCTACACCGTCCACAAGAAAATTAACGACCTGATCTACCGCATTCAGTTGTCAGCGGGAAGTAAACCCAAGATAGTTCACGTTAAAAAGTTAGCGCCATATCGTGGTCCAGATTCTGCCTGTTGGCTCCAACCAGATCCCAGTAATCAAGTTATTCGGGGAGAATAACTAGAGAGGAGGGAGAAATGTTATGCAGCATTCTGCAGTAGCCTGCGGCTATTATAAGAAACGTACATATAGAAACAGAAGTGGATTGTTACTCATCGCTCTACAGTGTGCTGGGGTCGTCATAACTAAAAGTACAAGTAAAAGAAGATAGAGTAGTCCAGAAATGTCTGGAAATGTCATTACCCGTCAAGAATATTCTAGACGACAGTTCGAGAAGGTTCGAGAAGGGTCAAGCAAGCTATATAAGGATGATCCTGATGATCTGGATAACGTTATGGCGCCAACTTTTCAACGTGAACTATCTTGGGTTTACTTCCCGCTGACAACTGAATGAGGTAGATCAGGTCGTTAATTTTCTTGAGGACAGTGTAGGGGCCTTCCCAGTTCCGTTGCAATTTCTGATGAAAGTCCTTTTCGGCGCTTGGGATTGTACAGCCATACTGGATCGCCTCTCTCAAACTGTGTCCCTGTGGCATGCATGTCGATGCTGACTTTTGCTTTATCGCTACTAACTTTCAAACGTTGCCTAGCGAATTCGTGTACCTTCTCTAATCTTTCTCTGTATGTACGTGGGAGATGTACGGCCCTCTTCTTCACCAGGAGGCTACCTTCTAAAAAGAAGATCGTGGGGAAGTTTCATCTCCATTCCAGTAATCATGGATGGAACATAACTGGTCGTTTCATATTCAGAACTTCGGTAGGCTAGCAGAAATAGAGGAATTAAAGTGTCCCAGTCCTTTTGATTATCAGAGACGAACATTGAAAGATACTGGCATATCTTTCTGTTATGGCTTTCTGCTATTCCGTCGGACTGTGAGTGGAGAGGCGTAGTGCGGGTTTTCCTGATAACTAACAGTTTCATCAATTCTTGCCATAATTCAGATTCAAAATTTCGTCCTTGGTCAGAATGTAATTCCAGGGGGACTCCGTGTTTCGCAATGACGTTCGTCATAAAGGCTTTCGCTACTGTCGTCACTTCATGATTAGGAATAGGCACTATTTCGGGCCACTTTGAAAAATAGTCCATAATAACTATTAAGTATTTGTTTCCATTTTCCGTTAAGGGAAGTGGTCCGAGGATATCTATAGCGATTTATTTGAAAGGCTCTATGGAAAGGTACTATTCGAGGATTAAGAACCAGAACGACGTAACAGAAAAAAATGGCAGACTGAGTTATCAAAAAATTATATTGCAAAAACCTTAATACTTTTAATTTTTGTAAAAGGTACTGTTAAAAATACAATAATAGGGAATAGGTACAATACTGTATTTAAAATTAGAATCAATTTAGAAACCTTGATGATGTACATTTTCGACATATTTTTAGCTCTCCTAAGCATTTCAAAAATGTCTGTTACGTCGTTATGGTTCTTAACCCTCGTATTTTACCTCGACTTCTGGTTTGGGGCCCTTTTCTGTCATTACAAAGGTCGCATTCCGTACACCAATCTTCTACATCCCGTCGGCAATCGACCCAATAAAATCTTTCCCGAACTCGTGCAAGTGTCCTTTTGGTACCAAAGTGTCCTCCTTAACGGCTGCTTTGAAGCTCCTCCGACACAGTTTTGAACTGTGATTTCGGCAGTATCACTTGGCGGACTACAAGTACTTCATCGGGGCTCTCCCATTTCCGGTGCAATAGGCCATCATGAAGATACAAGGAATCCCATCGATGTCACCAATGTTACGCAGGTTTCTGGTATCGCAATTTATTTCAACTCAACTTTAACAACAATTATACAACTGATAACATTAACATGTAACGTCTATCATAAAACTGAAAACTGACGTCAGGATCATCCATATATAGCTTGCTTGACCCTTCTCGAACTGTCGTCTAGAATATTCTTGACGGGTAATGACATTTCCGGACATTTCTGGACTATTCTATCTTCTTTTACTTGTACTTTTACTTATGATGACCGCAGAATACTTTAGGGCGACGAGTAATATTCCACTTCTTTTTCTACCTGTACGTTTCCTATAATAGCGGCAGGCTACTGCAGGGTGCTACGTAACAATATACTACAAAGTGTAATGAGGGAGACAAGTTACTTTAGAAGCATTTTTTGTTAGTCCCCTCTTAAATATTAAATACCCACAAAATTTAGTCATTACCCGAATAGCCGAAGCTTGAAAAATATATAAATTTCCGAATAAATCTATAGGAATAAATTCCAGTACTTCTAAGGGTGAAAACGAACTAAAAAAATCCTCTAGATCACCGATGTGTCTTAAACTAATACTGATGTATTAAACTATGGGAGATATTAGGCATTTTATTTCCTAATTCAGATTTTCATAATATAATTGTTAAAATGAATCATATTTTAACTGAAAAAATTGGCTACACAGAAAAATCGAGGTAATGTAAATAAGGAAAAGACATCCCTAATATATCTCGTAGTCTGCTGGATCAGCGTAGATCAAACGAACATAAATGGTCAAGTGGATGTGATATCAGTACCGAATACTGGAGACGCCTGAGGAATAATTTTTTGATTTTTCCATTTATACTCTTTTCCCCCTGGGTAAACAAGAATTTTTAAATAATAAATATATATACTTACAGTCATGTATTTTCCAAAGGCCGCTAACGAACTTTGAATGTATAAACATTTTTTTTACGCTGTACCAATGACTAGAATCTGAAATTTCTAGGAAGACTTCGTTGTTGTGAATAATTGTTATCACAAAATTATTACTATTATTATTTATTTGTATTAAAAAATGTTTCCACTTATTCTCATCCAGAGGATTTACCTAAAATTATAAGATATAATTTTAAAATTGTTAAAATGTGTTATAATCACGAGAAATTGGTGATCTCATCTGTATTATCCCTTCTTATTGTCAAATGTTACACAGCAATGTGTTTATATTAATATTAGAAATAGTAGTAGTCGATTGTCAATTTTGAAATATACCAAAATATATTATCCAGTTGTAAATTGCCTCTAAAAGAGTTACAGCAGATTGGCGACGTAGGTAAATCATTGATTGGTCAACCTTTCAGCAAATACCGAAACTCTTTAGAACCCTGAAACCCAATCGAAATTATGAAGCAGTTTAAACAATTTTTGGCCACACTGCAGGCAAATCAACAGGCTCTTATCGAACCTTCATCAGTAAATCTCTACTTTATTAGCCTATTTAAAAATTTCAACACCCAAAAAGTTGACTTTCAGATATACAGAGAATGTTTTAAAAACTATTTAATAATGAAAAATGTATTCAATAACAAAAAGTTTGCAGCCAAATTACAGGCTACATATCTATAATTAAACGTATTATTCTCGATTCCGAATATATTTCATCCTGTGAGTGTAAATCAAATATCGCAGACATTATTCTACAAGCTCAATTAATTAGAGGCATAAATTATAAATTAATGCCTAAGAAACTACTTAGTAGAAAAAGCTTTAGCTCTAGAATATTCTAAGTTAGGCAGTAAAGAACTTGCATCCAGCAGTACCTCATCAAGCCTCACCAACTCAATCATTCATCAACAAACAGATCAATATATAGATCAATGCCTCATGGTAGGAAACGTGCCAAATCAACTATTAAAGGTTAGGTATCGATATGCATTGTGTAAGTTGTGGCAAGGACAATCACTTTACCAAAAATTGCAAAACTGGTGTTAAAACTATACTTTTTTTCTTGTTGGAAAACGGGCAACGTTAAAAAGTTTGCATTTTAAGTTTGTTATCCAACAAAAACAAATCGGGAACTTCCACCAACCATATCGATTAAGAAACTGAGTCGAGACAAGAAACTATTTTTAGAATCAACAAAATTATTGACATTTTTGAAATTCAATTATACAATGATGCTCAAAAGTTTTACGCAACCGTATTCATTGAAATTAAACCTACACAATTTAAAGTTGACTCGGGAGCAGGTTTCACCTTGATACCTGAATCATTATTCAAATTATTAGTCTTCATAATTCCATATCAAATATAAAATATTGCATTTAGATCTTACACCAAAAACATTTTCTATCCAATTGGTAATGGATTAGACAGACATCTGGGCATCAATCTTTAAGAAATCGATAGCAAACTTCCTTCAAATACCAATCAACTTGATACACGAGGTACTGAACCTGATACACCAGACACAAGACTTGGTCAATAAATTTCCAGAAATAATTGGCTTAGTACCTAAAATCAAAGTATATATGCATCTGCTAAAGACGCCAAACCAGTATTTTTTATGGAAAGAAGTTTAGCATGCGCGCTTAGAGAAAAGGTTAAAAAATAGTTATCCTCGAAACCGCCAGAATTATTTCAAAAGTCGATCATAGCCTCTGGGAACCACCTCTAATTGTTATTATAAAAGCTGATGGCGATGTTAGACTTTGCGTAGATTAAAACATCGGCACCAGTGATAGGCTAGTAGCAGCGAATTATCGAATTCGAAAGACCGTAGATATTCTTCTCAACACATTGAAGGTTTCCAAATGTTTTTGTCAACTTGATCTATATAAAACCAACCTCCTTTTACCAGTAGACGAAAAAACCAGTGACATTCAAACAATTTCAATACATCATGGTACTTATCAAATGCGTCGACTTTCATTTGAAATCAAAACTGCTCATTCTGAATTTATTCGGGTTGAAGATCAGATTCTTTTTGGATTGTCTTAAACTCGCTCGTACTTTGATGATATTATAATCCAGGGATCAATGAGAGCATAATGTAAAGAAAACCTTTACGCATATCTTCAACGACTAAAAAAAATTGACTTTCATCTAAATCGGAAGAAATGTACATTTTCTTTAAACTAGCGTCGAATACCAAGGCCACTTCAAAGAAAGTACAAGCTATTTTGGATATGCGAAGACTAACTGCGTCGATGGAATTCAAAGATTTCTTAGGTTGATAATGTCTACATTCGTTTTATTCCCAATGTTTGTAAAACTTACCTACTACGTAAACTCCTACAAAAAAAAACTTCATTTGGTCTGCTTCTTGTGAATCCGCTTTCATCAAATTAAAAGAACAAATTCCTAGTGATCGAGTTTTGACTCTTTATAATCCAAATGTACCCTTGATCCTATCTTGTGACGCTAGCCCGACAAGATTTGACCGAATTCGTTTTCAATATCTTTAAATTCAAGCGAAATGAACTATATAGTCCGTTAGATCGAGAAACTATCGCCCTTATATTTTCGGTAAATAACTTTTTTATGTATTTATTTGGCCGGAAATTTAAACTTGGTACTGACAATAGTCCCCTTAGCAGAATATTTTATCAAAATTTAAAATTACCGGCTATGAATTCAGCTAGACTTCTTAGATATGCTTCGTATCTGTATGGTTTCAATTTTGAAGCTTCTAATCACGTAAATGTTGATTGCCTTTTCAGAGCCGCTATTGTTCAACAAACATATTATACCAAGTTCCTTAACAAAAAAAGCCATCAACTTTGTAATATGTCAATAAAAGTAATATCTAGCTACGACTTAAACTATGATAACCGTAGACTAGCTACAGATATTGATTTAGTCTTATCCAAAATCAAATCAGATTTGAAATCGCAAAATCAAGTCGAATACATTTTCACCTTAATTTTGTTAAAAGTCAAAAAGTTGTTATTCCAACATCGCTTCAACCAGTGGTTCTTTCAGAACTTCACAGTTCTCACATAGGAATTAAACATCGATAAAGACATTGAAAATATGGGTAATGCCTGTCAAGCATGTGTTGAGGTTTAAAAACCCCCTTCAAAAGCTACTCTTTATCATTGGGATCTTCGAGAAGAAAATTGGGATCAAATTTATATTGCAGGGCCACTTCAATGTTTCTATTTTATAATTGTTGATATCAAATCCCGATGGGCCGAAATTACAATTCTTCGTGACGCTCCAATACAGAAAAAACTATCGAGCTACTTAAATATATCTTTACGTTCCACGGATATCTGCAAGTTATAGTTACAAACAATGTTAACATTTTTTCTAATGATAATTTCAAAATGTTTCCAAACTCGCATGTTTTTTTCAAAAATTCATCGCACAACGTCATCCTGCAACCAATGGTCTAGCCGAGAGGAATGCATAGACTTAAAAATAGACTTAAGCCATGATCCAGGATAACATTCCCAGAAATGTATTTAAAAAGGCATATAAAATTCAAACTTAATGTCTTACAGCCAACTCAACACAATAACTCAGAAAGCCATCTACCTGTAGTACACAATTTAAGCGTAGGAGAAGAAGTTTAGGCCAGATTTTATTGTGGGAACAAAATTCTGTGGAAATTCGAAACCATAATAAAAAAGTTTGGTTTGTTACACTACCAGGTGGAGCTAGATGATGGATATTCATTAAAAAGACATATAGACCAAATTCGAACAACGGTGGTTCCCAAAAAAAACAGTAACCTTCTCAAGTGAAATACCTCAGGAATATGAAAATGAGTTACCCCAGTATCATGATCAAATTTCACAGTATTTGCTTGCGCAAACTTTTCAACCACTTAACCCTAGCTATAACATCAACTATGGATGCACACGATGTATCGATATTTAAAAAACGTGAATTTTCAGTTTCGATTATCGATGTCAATTTTGAAATATATCAAAATATATCCAGTTTCAAATTGTCTTTCAATCTTCTCTAGTGTTAGAGTCAGCGAATTAGGATATAGCCTCCACTGGTGTCGATGGTACCACGTCTGCCCGTTTCAGTGTCTGTTAAGAGTCAGCGAATTAGGATATCGCCGCAACTGAGGTCGACGGTACCACGTCTGCCCTTTGCAGTGTCCAGGCCCAGGAGAGCGGGGACGTGACTTTCGACCAGCCGAACGCTATGAAGTGATAGGCAATATGCCGTTAAAGACATTCTTTATTTTATTCCTTAATTAATTACATTTCAAACATTGTTTACGAGATATTTATTAAAACATTATAAAACCATGTTAACACGTGTTTTATGAAGTGGCTATACAGGGTGTTATAGTATACAGGGTGATAAATAATTTAAAAACAATAATTTTGAAGTTAATTCTTTTAACTTCTAACATCAGAAGTGTGGATCCTGTTCAGGTTTTCACATTTAAAACGAAGTGTCTAAAAGTGTATTAAGGATGATTTATTCGCAGAAATATTACACAGTTCCAAAAACAGCAGAACAACTCCAGAACAAGTTGATTTGCTCTTATTTTGGTCAGATACCGACGATTCTAAGGTTTGGATACAACAGTTCGAAAAGATAAAGAGAAATTTGAGTGGTAAGACCTGTAGATACTGGTAAGAGTTAAACGCTTTTTATTGGGCGATGCTACAATATAGTTTGAGAATTGGTCTCCAACATTAAGAGATTGGTCTAATTTTAAATTTAAACTTTTAAGAGTCATTTTCACACAAAAAATTGTAGTTTCTTATTTTGATAGCTCACTTTGTAAATCTTATACAGCTTACGTTCATAAAAAAAGGATTGCTTTATTGAAAAATTTTAATTTGAATTTTGAACTTTTACGAGTTATTTTCACACAGGAAATTGTTGTACTTTTTAAAGCCTCTTCTTTTGACAACTTACCCTAAATTTTATACATTCTATGTTCAAAACAAAAAGGATTGCTTCATTGAAAAAAAAAATTTAAATTTGAACTTTTAAGAGTAATTTAAATAGAGAAAATTGTAGCCTCTTCTTTTGACAGCTCACTCTTTAGTTCTTATGTAGCTTATGTTCATAAAAAAGTATTGTTTAATTAAAAAATTTTAATTTTAGATTTGAATTTTTATGAATTATTTTCACATAGAAAATTGTTGGACGTTTACTTTTTGAAGCCTCTTCTTTTGACAGCTCTCGCTAATTTTCATATATTTTAATGTTCAAATTAGAAAGGTTACTTTAGTGGAAAATTTGCGTGCTAATCGAAGTACAGAAGGTTTAATTTTTTTAACTGAATTAATTGTTTACGGGATTCCTGAAATGTACAAGAATCTGTGACTATTAGAGATTTCAATTCAATGAACAATTAGTGATTTAATTTCATATAAAAAAAAAGAAATAATAACAATGTGTAAGAAACAATAATTGTTCCTCCAAAATAATTCAACACTCTCAGAATTATAAGCGAGATAAAAATTTAAGAGTCAACCATTCATAATGATGCCAATATTGCCTTAGCAAGTAAAAAAAATAATGATAAACAATGTATTTTTTTGATTTAAGTCGAGTCACGTAACTAAAAACTGTTTTCTTAAAGACTCAAAGATAAAACACATAAAACTAACTTTGTTTCTTCAGAGGAAAGCAAGCAATGGAAATAAACATTAATCAACCTATATGAGTTTATTGATACCGAGCTTAAGTGTCCCTCTGATGTATGAAACATTTATTGAACAGTCTGGGTTAATTTACAGAAAATTTGTGTTATGGGCATAACTTGAGACAGTTTGTTTGAAAATATAAGTTCGGAACAGATGTTAAAATTACAGGCAAGCCAGCTCAGTCTAGGTACACGTTTAATGTTTATGTTACTGATTAAAATTATACGTAGATACTTATTATGAAGCGACAGTTACCAGATGTTTTAAAAATTTCCGTGGATTTGGAATTAGTTTAAATCAATTAAAAGTACTTGAACAATATCGAGATCAATTATGTTAGATTATTAAAATTAAAATAAAAATTACTACAATTTGTGGTTTACTAGTTTTTCTGTTTCTGCAGTAAACAACTGTGCTATGGAAATTAATTTAATTAATAATTTTATTGCCATGTCGACTTTTAGCAAAATTGTTTCACAGGGTTTGATTTGTTTAGAGTAAGTTTTAGAAGCCTTAGAAACAGCAGGAATTTTCCAAAATATTTGAAAATGTTTTCACAAACAAAAAGTGATTTTTTTGGATGGAAGATTTCCGTTGAAGATGGTAGATCTGAGTAGAAAAAAATAGAGACGTTTACAAAAATTTCGTTTCCCAAAAATGTTAGACAAGTCAGGCTTTGGCCGAGCGGGTTATCATTAGTGACTGATTTGCAAGACTCAAATTTTTGAAACTAAAGGTAAAGTAAATGTTTTGACTTCTTTAATTTTTATTGTTGCAGGGATGAAATCATAAGCCTTGAAACATGGAGTCAGCATACTTCCATGTTTAATGTTATGTTTTATATTTCAAGGATGAAGTATTAAGCCTTGAAAGGTGGGGTCAGCATACACCCATCTTTAATGTTATATTTCATGTATTAAGGACGAATAATAAGCCTTGAAAGGTAGGATCAGCATACACCCATCTTCAATGTTATACTTTATGTATTAAGGACAAATAATAAGCCTTGAAAGGTGGGGTCAGCATACACCCATCTTTAGTGTTATTTTTGTATGTCCCAAGGGCGAATAATATGCCTTGAGAGATGGGGTCAGCATACTCTCATGTATATTGTTTTGTCTCAAGGGCGAATAATATGCCTTGAGAGATAGGGTCCAGCATACTCCCATGTGTATTGTTTTGTCTCAAGGGCGAATAATATGCCTTGAAAGATGGGGTCAGCATACTCCCATGTTTGTTGTTATATTTTGTCTCAAGGGCGAATAATATGCTATGAAAGATGGGGTCAGCATACTCCCATGAAATATTTGCAAATTGTTTTGTTTTTAGGATTATAAACTGAAAGATGGGGTCAGCATACTCCCATGAAATATTTATGTATTGTTTTTTTTTAGGATTACAAATTGAAAGATGGGGTCATCATACTTCCATGAAATATTTATTGATTGTGTTTTAGGATTAAAAATTAAAGAATGGGGTTAGCATACTTCCGCATAGATTATTTAATTTATGAAATATTTTTGAAAATTACAAATTGAAAGATTGGGTACTCCCATAAAATGTTTTATTTATGAATTGTTTTTTTTTTAGGATTATAAATTAAAGTATGGAGTCAGCATACTCCCATGAAATATTTTATTTATGATTTGTTTTTCAAGATTACAATATCTTGAAGTTTGGGGTTATGAAAGTATATATTGGACCTTGGCACGTAGGTCACGTTTTACCTTTTTCCACAGAAAATAAAGACATCACAGTGGAAATGAATACATGTTTTGAGAACGAAACACCCGTCAGTCTAGCCGTGTTAGAGTCAGCGAATTGGGATATCGCCGCCACTGGGGTCGATGGTACCACGTCTGCCCGTTGAGTGTCTGTTAAGAGTCAGCGAATTAGGATATCGCCGCCACTGGGGTCGACTGTACCATGTCTGCCCGTTGCAGTGTCCAGGACCAGGAGAGCGGGGACTTGACTTTCGACCAGCCGAACTCTATGAAGTGATAGGCAATAGGCCCTTAAAGACATTCTTTATTTTGTTCCTTAATTACATTTCAAACATTGTTTACGAGATATTTAATAAAACGTTATAAAACCATGTTAACACGTGTTTTATGAAGTGGATATACAGGGTGTTATAGTATACAGGGTGATAAATCATTTAAAAACAATAATTTTGAAGTTAATTCTTTTAACTTCTAACACTAGAATTAATTCTAAAAGAGTTATAATATTGGCGCCGAGTATGGAATAAATTCGCAATCATAAGTGATATGTTTTAGTATAGATATGTAGTCTGCAACAGTTTCGTTTTATTGTTGAAAGGTGGATAAAAATGTATGCTGTAATACCAAAACGTTTCTCTTTGGACATAAATGGGTTTCAAGCTTCGTAATAAGAGTTTCGTAATCAAATGCAATTAAGATATCCAGATGTGGTTTTTACTAAAGACCTAAGTAGGGTTATAAGTTTTATTTTAGAAAAAGACAATGGCGCTATTTCAAAGTTCATTATCTAATTTTCTTTAAATCAGACACCATGTATTAATACATTTTTGAAAAACCACACCCTTTATCCTTATAAACGATGTTTAGTTTCAAAATCATTTTAAAAATGGCTGCAAAATTAGATCGAAAGGAAATGTTTGCATAGTTAAATCTGGTTGCGTTGCAAACAATTATTTTTTTAAAAACTACTAAGAACATTGAAAAACGAGAAATAAATGTTTAATTATTTTTTATTATTAACCTTTAAATTATAAAAGCAATAAGAAATATTGATATAAGGAATAAAAATTTAAATAAAAATATTGCGTTTTTCTTCTTCATATACACATGTATTAATACGGATCAATAAATTTTGAAAAGCTCTTAATAACATGTCAGAAGTTATGAAGCCGAATGCAGAGCGAATATTCTTTTTTAGTTTATATAAATTTTTAGGGGTTGGTGAGTAAGCTAAGCACTTAACGTAATTCCAAATGCAAAAATCTGGAACTGTCAAATCCGGCGAATGAGCTGCCGATTCTATCAACATAGTGCATTATTCCATTTATAGTATTTTCTGCGAAAAAGGTCCATACATTTTTGACATAATTACGGCACACCACACGTTAACTTTGCGAGAGTTTCTTTTTCCTTCTTGAAATTCGCGAGTGTTTTCTTTTGCCCAAATTCGACAAATGTGAGTATTAACTCTTCCGTGTAAGTGAAACGTGGATCGTCGAACATTACTAAATTAGTTTATCTTTACTAGACTCTGAGGTCTTTTTTCATTTTGACTTTAGCCAGGTCACATGTGAATGGTGATTAAAACGTAAATAGCAAAACTGTTAATAAAGTTAATTAATAGCGTTACAAAACTTACTTTTACTTTTACTAATCCTCTTTTACAACTAGGGTCAGTTGGATATGTTTTAGGCTCAAAAGAAATTTGACCACTGCCACATTTTCTTATTTGTGACATTTTCCCATTATTCATTCCCAGCATGATCCAGTAACAATTTGAATCTGGTGGAGTGTCTCCGTCACACAAATAAATATGTGCCTCTTTTTCTATTTGAATTGAAAAAGGAATATTAATATTTCCATTTAATTTCTGGAAGACTTCTTTGTAGACAAGTTTTTGTGTCATGTCTCCTTCGGTTTTCCATAAAGGGAAATCTAAAAGTAAGTAAATAAATAATCGCTAAAAAGCACCTAATATTAATCTTCAGAGACTTTCATGATTTTGTTAAATAGAGAATAAATTGATCTTTAGCCAAAAATATTAATTTCTAAGAAAATTTACAAAATAGATCAATTTTTAATTTTAATTTGCCACACTTAAAACAATTATATATACACGGTGATGAACATTTGTGTAATGATGTCAGCGACAATTTTTTTAAATTTTAAATTTTAAATTTTAAATTCAACTTTTGCGGTATTTGCCCAATAATCCTTTTATCTTTTATATATATATATATATATATATATATATATATATATATATATATATTGTTATGGAGATGTTTTTGTGTGAAATATATAGCACTACGTTGTGACGTTATGTAATTGTAATGAGCTTTAAATAATTTAAATCACGAATCATCATCCCCCATACAAATACTTAATGCTCCGGCTAAAATGTTGTCTAATGCAATAAATGAAACGATATGACTCAATTCTTTTAACTAATGAGTTTAAAAATTTTCATCCATGTATTTAAGACACTTACCTCTGAACCTCGTATATTGTCAGCTCTTGTATAGAAATAAAAATAAGTAAAAGTTTGAGACTCTGTGTATAACTTGTAGTTTTATTTAAAATAATTGATATCAGGGTTTAGTGCGAGTTCAAAAATTCTTTGTAACTAATGTGGGAAAAAAGAAACAGAATATTGTTACATAAATGTAAAAATTAACATAGAAACAAAAATAATAAAATAATTCGTCATTTAACGATCGATTCTTGGATCGAAAATGGCGCATTATATTATAAAAATACAGTTACCTATCGAACTTAATATTCTACCCACCGTACGGCGCTTTTAAATACGTAAGTAGATCTCTTTTGGCCGGCTATATGGTAATTTCTCTAGTCGGACAAAAGATGGCTTATATGGAATTCTAACCTAATCAAATCAGATAGTCCAAAAAACATTCTGATGTTATTTTATACTAAAATAGAAAGATTCATCGTCTTTACGATTACTCAAGTACTCAATTTAGTAAGTACTTTCTTTTAATTGGTCACTAATGATAGTTTTTAATTGAAATACCTGTATAGCACTGTGATATATAAGATGTCCTAGTGTTAAACTTATTTCTTTTCAGCGTCCATAACAGAAGGATGTTACAAGTACCTGGGGGAAATGGAGGCCTTGCGTCTTGTATGCCAATGCATACAGAGGTGATCGACGACTTCCTGGGGACTCTTCTACGGACAGTTTTACATGATATTGCGTGGGTAAGTTAAATTTAATATTACCTTTGACATTTATACACTAGTTAATCATTTATTCATAAACATTGAAGATTTAATAATTCTGTCTCTTTATTTTTAGGAAAAAAGGAGTTTGGAGAGGAAATTCGAAGGAAAAAATTTTTGTGTCCTTCCTTTTTCGTTACTTTTCTAGCACTCCTCTTTTGTTTCATCAACAAAACTCTGATTTGGATTTTTGAATCAAGTTGGATTAAAAAGTAATTAGCCAATCAAAATTCTGACAGTTTAGTTACATCTTTAAAATTAGATTATTGGATTTTTAAAGGTGAGTTTTAAAAATTATAATTTTCGTGTGGTAACATTGTCTCACTACATTTAGTTACTTTTGATCTTGTCAAATTTATCACTATACAGGGTGTAGTCTAAATACTTAGATGAAACTTTTTTAAATTTATTTCTTTGAAGACTTTTTATCATTAACTTGATATTCTTGGGATTCCGTGTTTCATTATAACATTCCCTGAATTTTTTTGGATTATTCTAATTTTGAGTTTTCTCGAAATCTAGAATAATGCATAACAAAATTCACATTTTGTTGTTTTCTCTAATTAATCATTATTGTATAATATATTATTATCTCAAAAGGTAATTAATTTTAATTAAAATTTTAATTCAATAATTCCTTGACGATTATTAATCATTCATTTGTTTCTCAAAAACAAAACAAAATTATATCTTAAAATTATTATTTACACGTATTTACATTTTTTTAGATCTTGGCTTATGAATTTTCATCAACTTCAGGAACGAATCTGTATAATTGGTCCACGTTAAAAATTCCTCGGATTTTTCCCGTAATAGGATGGACAAGTTCATAGCTATTGATGCCATTAGAAGTCTGAACCATATATGGACCCTCAAAAGGTAATTGTAATTTACTACACATGTTATATTTGCGATTTGGTACTCTTAACGCTCGAATAATCACTAATTCACCTTTACTAAATGTCACTCGATTTTTAATTTTCTTTTTTCTCTTATTTATTCCCTTGCATCTAGGCAAATCCTAATGTCTCCATCTTTCTTTTTTTCAATCACAATTGGGTTTATATATGGAGTAGTACTGTATTCTATAATCTTATCTTCTATTAATTTTCTTGTAGCTTCTTGCATTTCATCTTTATATTTGTATGGGATTGGATAGCTTTTTCCTTTAAATGTTTCCATATTTCTTACTTTCAAACTATGTACAAAATTCTTGGCAACTCTTGATTTCTTATTAAATAATTCTTCATATTTCTCCAACAATTCCATCATTTTTTCTTCTTTTCTTTTCCACAATCTAATTTCATCTCTTTCCAATTTTCAATATTTATTATATTATTTGCTTCATTTCCAACTTCATAATAACCATTCAAATTATCCTCACTATCATTTATCATTTCTCCTTTTTCATATACCATCTTATCTTCATTAAAAATACCATACATTTTCTTTGCCAATGTTTCTTTTTCGCTATTTTCTTTATTCATAATAATACTTGTACTTTCTTCTTCCAATTTCGTATCACTTTCTTCAAATTCAATCTCTAACCCATTCAAATTTACAGTCTTGTTCTCATAGTTGATGTCTGCATTATTTTTCTGCAATTCATCTCTTCCCAATAAAATATCATACTCCATATCTTTCACCACTAGTAGATGCACTTCAAAGTTGTTGCTTTTACTATATAACTTAATAATTATGGATTTGTTCACTTCACTAAATTTCTTTTTATTTATACTAATTAAATTAATTTTAGGAATTTTTGTAACTTTATTATTTAAATTCAATTTATTTACAATGCTTTCGCTCACTAATGACGTTTCTGATCCCGTGTCAATTAAAACTTGCACACTCACATTATTTACACTTGCTTTTATCACAACTAAACTATTTTTTTGTTCTTGTTCTAGGCAATCCTGAATTTTGAGAAATTCACGTGGATGGACGTAATTATACAGATTGCGTTTTACTCCATCCATTAATGAAAATTCTGCGTGCCTGTACTGCTGACACTAGACCTAAGACTGTCGTCAACACGAGCAGTGTCAGGACTTTCGTTGGTTCGCATATCCTGTGTAGAGACCTGTGTGTTTGAAGAACCCATTCTATCACAACTGTTAGATCTCCTGTGAAAATTGACTCTACGATTGTTATCTGTGTTATTGTATCGTGTATTATTTTGTACATTTTGATCAACATTTGTATTTAAATTTCTACTTTGGTATCGATTATTATTAGGATTATTATAATTATTATTATTTTGATATCTATTATTATTGTTATATTGCATTCTTGCATTGCCTACATTATTATTATTATAATTTGGTATAAACCTTCTATTATAATTATTTGTTTGTTGATTTTGGTTATTATTATAGTTATAATTATCGTTATTATTATTTTGGTTAAAATTCCAATTATTGTTGTTATTATTATTATTATTATTAGAATAATTTCCAATACCCATGTTGTAACTTCTATTTTGGTTTGAATTAGTATTATTTACGTAATTAGCTCTGTAATAATTTCTATTATTAGTGTATCTATTAAAATTTGTGTCTGAGTTCATATTATTTCCTTCATTATTAATTGAATAGTTTCTAAAATTTCTCTGACGTCCACTAGTCAGATTTCTCTCTATTCTCATAAGATATTTGCTTAATTGTTCAAAGCTTTTTATGTTTTGAACAGCAATTGTTTCAGCTATTTGAGGTTTGAAATGCCTCGATAAAAACATTATGATCTCTTCTTCTTTTATAACAGGTTCAAGATGTTGAGCCTGTGAATATAACATTAATGCGTATGAATACATAGAACTTCCTCTTTTTTCGTCATAGTGACCAAAATAGAGACGTTCTCTTATCTCTCCTTGAATTATTTCTCCCCAATACATGTCAAGAAAAGCAATTTCAAAGCTTTTGAAGTTTTTGAAATCCATTTCCTTACTTGTGTACCATAGTAAGGCTTGTCCTGTTAGATCTTTTCTTATTATTTCTCTGGTATCCTCAAAATTTTCAATATTCTTAATTCTATTTGATAAGATTCGTAGGAATACTCTAGGGTGTATCTTTTTTACATTTCCATCGAATCTTGTGTTCTCATCTGTGACACTCTGGTAATTGTTGCAAATAGTTGTTGCTCTGTTTCCCATTTGACTTCTCATTCTATCCATTTGCTCTCTCATTTCTTCTAAATCTTCTTCTATTCTCCTTTCTCTTCTGTCATTGTTTTCTCCAAGGCTTTCACTTCTATTTCTAGTATTTTCATTTTCTTGCATTTTGATTCTTTCCATTTCTTGTTCAAATTTCTCCATTCTTTTATAAATTTCTTCCAATTCTTCTATTTCCATATTACCTTCTCTTCCAGTCATTCTCCATTGTTCTTTGAGTTTCTTTATTTCTTCTACTATTTCCTTTTTTGATTTACTTATTTCTCTTTCTGCTTCTTCTCTTACTTCGTAGATTTCTTTCTTCACATCCTTTTTAAGACCTTCTATTTCTTTTACTTGTTTGACTAAAC